AACTAATATACATAATCTCCAAGGAGAAAGATTCTCTGCTTTAGATGAGGATATAGAACAACTAAAACTAACAATTCCCAAATATCATAGAAATGATGTTTTATAGGAAAACATGTATTTTCAATACCAAATTCCTTGATAAACATTGTTACATATTTGATCCAGTCGATAGAAACATCGAACTACATGGGGAAGATAGCTTCACAAGCATTCCACTCCTCGGTCGAAGAAAAATAAATAAATTAAAAGAAAAATATAAGGATATGAAATATCTTCATCTTGGACTCATCCAAGTAAAAGTTTTCGGACAATTTAAGTCTGGTAATGACACACTTATTATGGCACTTTGTATAGATGAAAGAATAATTTCGAATCCATTAGATGCCTTAATAGGAGGATGTGAGTCCAATTTAGCTAACATAATTCTTGGTGTTAATATACACCCAAATTACTTTATTGTGCTTAATGACCCTTGCATATGTGATGTGATAGAATTAAGCATCAATCTCAAAGGAATTGAGATTAAATTAGGAAGCAGAGTGCTAGGAATACAATAATGAATCTATAGTAGCACTCAGCCAAACTTGTACCTTCATTAGCAAAATGACCAGAGAAGTAATTAGTCTATTTGAAGTACAACCTAGAAAGGTAATGCAACCTCGAACAGTAAGCTTGAATGACCTTAAAATTGATCTCGATTTAGAGATTAGTTTATGTCATTTAAATCAATAGAAAAATATACAAATGCCAGAAGAAACATTTATTATTTATGGTAACATAACCTGAGCTACATACATAAATCAACTAAAGGAGTTTTGCTTTTCAAAAGGAGGAAGGCCCTACTTCATCCTCTAAAGAAAATGAGTAAGCCTTGATTCCACAAAGAAGTATACATCTTCCTATGGAAAAACCAAGATATCCAGTCATCACTCCTAAAACACAACGAAAATTCATGCATTAAATTTAGACAAGAAAACAAGAGTCAACTGTTTCATAAGCATAACAATTGCCTACTCAGAATATAGGCACTTTATGCTCCATATATTAATAGGCACTGGAGCCAATATAAGCATTATTAAAGGAGAATTTGTTCCTTCTTCTTATAAAAGGCAATGCAAAAATTCTCAAATTATTACGTCCTTTATCGCAAAGGCAATTATGATGACTTCAAAAGCCAAGAATCTTCCTATTATCTTTGAAACAATTGATAAGAGGAAATTCCTATGACACTTTCTACCTATATCATGAAAAGTGATCACATGGAAGATATTATTATCGGGAACAATAATATATCATAATCGTTGGTTTCCTATTACCATTGATAAATATATTATTAAATTTAAATTTCTTCGAGAGCAGAAGAAATTTTCTATTCCCAAAATCCCTTTTATGCTTATAATCGAGAAAGGTTTCACCCTTAATCTTGTAGCATCGCATGGTGAAGTTAATCCACCACCACAAAAAGAAATCAAACAACTCAATTATAACATTCAAGTCACCAATGATTTTGAAAAACATATTCATACAATATTATCACCATTATATAGTAATAACCCCTTGTTACATTTTGATAAAAAGCTCAGGATATTGTACAATCCAATTCAAGGATGAGTACAAAGGGGAAAATATCACGGTTAATACCATAGCGGCTAACCATGAAGACAAAAAAGAGTTTGAAATGTAAATAGCAGAGCTATTAAAACTCAATTTGATGCAAAAAAAATAGAATCAAATCATTCTTCTCTTGCTTTCATGGTAAGAAACTATACTGAGCAAAAGAAAGGAAAAGTAAGGATGATCATTAACTATAAAAAAGTTGATGAAACCACGAAATTTGATGGATTCTTCATCCCCATTAGGGGCTGTTTGGTTCCTTTTTTGGGTGGTAAAAGTGGGGAAAGCTGCCAAAAATGTCAGCTTTTTGGCAGCTTTCCCCCAAAATCACCCCTTAAAAAGATGATTTTGGGGGAAAGCTGTCAAAAAGCTGACATTTTTGACAGCTTTCTTCTCTTTTACCACCCAAAAAAACCTATCCAAACAGCCCCTTACTGAATTGCTCTTACACAGAATTAGAGATGCTGTGTGAATATTAACCCATCCTTACCTCAAAAACACCACCACTGCCTTCTTTCTCCCATCTACGTATCTGAGGAAGAGGATACGAGTGCAAGCGCATCATCTGAAGTTCTCAACATGTCTGACATGGATCCTCTCAATAAATCCATTTTTATGTGATCTTTATTTTCACCCAACACACACCCAAATATAAGAAACCTCTGTGGAGCCCATATTTAAATGGCGTTATTGGATGGTATTTGAAGTGTTTGTGAACATAGAATTGCTGCAGTCAGCGTGGATGTTTAGACCGACCGTAGCGATATCCAAGATACACACATGATGATTACAAATGACCATTAGCGGGTAAGAAAATGTAGTATTGATTTAATTGAAGTTCACAAGGACTACCATGACAACGTTTTCATTACACATCGAATCTATGAGAAATTTTATTTCTGTAACGTCTTCTCCGGATCTAAATTTGAATATGTGTGCACTTTTTAAATTTGAATCCAAAAATATTTATCTATACTTCAGAAATATGAGATAATTGGATTATTAAGTCAGTTATATAACGATAGTGTTTAAATCAATAATTGTAATTTTAGATTAAAATTGAATTTGAATATCTGAGTCTCTCAAGGAGACTTAACCCCTTCTTAACCTGCCAAACACAACAAATCTATATAAGGGTTAAAGTGAGTTAACCCTCCATAATTTGCCAAACATAAAAAAATATAGAAGGGTTAAGTTAACCCCTCTAGAGGGGTTAAAATGAGTTAACCCCTCAAAATGAGGGGTTTACTAATACTCCTATTTAGATGGAATAAGAATTAACCCCTTGTTACATTTTGATAAAAATAGTATGAATAAGACTCAAATTTAAAGAAAAACTTAAGTGGATTAAGAGATTAATCTATCAAATAATGTATCTATTTAATTTGATTTTCAAATACATATTGGTGAATGATACACTTCAAGATTACTTTTTTGAGATTCTTGTCTTTCCTGTGTATCACACATCGATACGAATCTCAAAGAAAAATAAGGGACTAAAGTTGATGGACATACTCTCAGTTCACTTAAGCTTATTCTAATTGTTTCCTAGTTTATATTACTATTATTTGGTTTATTTTCACTTTGGTACACCAAAAGTTTACCATCTTCATTTTGCTACTTCAAAATTTTTTTTTGATCCCTTCCCATTTCACTTCGGTATCCAAATATTTTCTAAATATTTTGATCTCATCAAGTTTCAATCTCATTTCACTTTGATGCACTCATTTAGATTCCATTAGATTTTCTATTAAATTTGTATCACATCCTTAGCATATGATATGATACATTTAAATTCATATTACCAAATTGCTAAGCATGTAATATAAATTTAATGGAAAAGTTAACGTAATCAAAATAGGGTGCCAACATGAAGTGAGATTCAAACTTCGGGTGTCAATATAAAAATAAATTCTTTAAGATATCAAATTAAAATGAGAGTGAAACCTTAGAGGTATCAAAGCGTTAAATGAAATGTGTAAACTTTAAGATACCAAAGTGAATAGAAGCCTTACTTTTACTATAAAAACTTTGTATAATTGGCTAAATATAAGAAAAATTCCCTTAACTTTGAATAATTGTCAGGAAACCGCAAAATAACTTTGAAAATATCTGTGACCCCTTGAGGCATAGGGATTATCAGAAAAGCCTCTTTAAATTTATAATATTATCATAAATTCCCCTTTTAACTTTAAGATTTAATCAGAAATCCCCTTTAAATTTATGATTTAGGGGATTTTCTGATGAAATCTCAAAGTGAAAGAGGGTTTTCTGATAAACCCTAAACTAAGCGGGGGTTATCTGATAATTTCAAACTTTAAGGGAGTTACCTGTTAATCGTTCAAAGTTATGTGTGTTTTCTGATATTTAACCATTATAATTTTGAAGGTACTAACATGAAAATTTCCCAAAAACAAATAGGGGTGGAAATGAACCAAATAATTAATAAATGGTTCAATAATTGTTTGAATAACTATTCGGTCATATTCGATTCGATAGTTCATTTATCACTAAACAAATATTTTTTAATATTCGAGTTTATTAACGAATATAATTTAACCAGATGTATATTCGATTTGTTTATCTATTAAATATTCGTTTAAAATTTGATCACAGTTTATTATTTGTATTATTGCACATATGATGTCATATTTTTAACTCACTTACCATTTCTACTTAAGTTTTATATATAGATTTTAAGACTTAAATAATCTTAAATCTGTTTTCTAATTAAAATTTTAATTTAAATATATATACATCATATATTATAAAGAAATAATTTTAATTTATAAATTTTAATTTATAAATTTTAATACTATTTGAAAATTAAACTCTTTAGCGAAATAAATATACTTTGATATTCGATAAGTATTCGTGAATATTCATGAATATTTATCAAATACCAAGTATTCGAGTTCGAATTCGAAAAACTAGATATATGAATATTAGAGTCCGCATTCGAATTCGATAATTTTAAACAAATACAAATATGAACAACTTAGTATTCGATTCGATTCGATCATTTACCACCCCTAAAAACAAATACAAATACAAAAGATACAAAAAACGCCACCTCCGTCTCCCCTCCCATCTCCATCGCCGACTCTTGTTATCTCTACCGTCTCCTCTCCGCCGACCCCAACTCCTCCCGCTCCTTTCGGATTCGGGTCCGAAAAATGGCCCAAAGAGGCCCATAAACATCCACCACCAATGCCGTCCACTTTCTTGCTACCACTCGCAACCCCAGCCTGGACTCTAACTCTTTATCGGATCCCTACCTCGACTAACCCTAGCCTACTCTTCCTTACGGGTCCACTCTCATCTCTTCCACCCGTCAAAACTCATCCTCCTTCTTCCATCTCTCTCCTTGCCCTGCAACACGGCCACTGCATCAACGAGCTTCTCCTGGATTCGGCCCGTACCCGAATCGTATCGCTCAGCAGCTCGATTCGAACTCGGTTTCCTTTCGATGTGATCTTTGATCAGCCGCTGAGGTTGACGGGACCTGAAACGGGTGGGGACGGGGATCGGGTTGCTGCGCCCGTTATGGGGAGGAGGGTCCGGAGGAGAAGGGTTTCGGGTAGAAAGGGGAAGACTTTGGCGGTTTCGGTGGTGGATTCGCCAATGAGGCTGAGCTGGGGTTTCGGGTAGAAAGGGGAAGACTTTGGCGGTTTCGGTGGTGGATTCGCCAATGAGGCTGAGCTGGCAGAAGGAAGAGGGGATTGGAGACAATTTTGGTTGTGAGAGTAAAGAGGAGAACTCTGTTGGTTGTTTGGGTTTTGGAGATGGGAAGAGAATTGTTGGTGAGTTATTTAGATATTCGCATTTAAATGGTACTTCTATGGGGAAATTGCATTGCTTTATATGTTCGTCTTGAATACAGTAGAATGGGGTCTTCTTATGATTGTATTTGGATAAAGTTTATAACTTGTCATTGCTCTTATGGGAGTATTTGCTTTTAAGGAAATTTTTTAATGTCCGGAATCAAATTCCGCTTCGTGTATGAAGGAGTTATTTATGAAAAATTAATATTTTTAAAATGGCTGGATACTTTCAACTTAGCATTGTATACTTCTGGGAGAAAAATTGATCGTTGTTTAGTATTAATTAGTTAATGCAACAGTTTTGAAATTTAAATGGAGGGGTGGAGACAGGGACATAATATTTTGCCAAATTGGGAAGTGATTTATATAGAAAAATGTTTTTCCCATCATTTTCCCATTTATTCTATGCATACAAACGAAAATGAAGTGATAAAAGTTCTACATTTTCTTTTTCATTTTCATTATCTTGAACATTTTAAAAAAAAAGTATGTAAGAAGTTTATTTCTTAATGTTCTATTTTTCTCCTTTACTAATTGATTGAGAGGACAAGGGAAATCAATTTTTTTACTTAATTCAATTTTTCAGAACCAGAGGATGGCAAAAAAGAGTAATTATTTAGAGAGTGGAGAAAGAGAAGAACTATAATTGGTTTCAATTTCAGAAGTGCTTTCTTCAATTGAGAATATTTTAGAACAGTGCACGCTTCCTATCTTTCTATTTTTTCCCCTGTAAGTGACTTATCGTTTAATATCAGAAAATTGACAGAGCTTCTGTTTTCTTCTGATATTATATTAGCGATGATTGGTTGCCCTAGTAGAATTTTGAACTATGTACCAATTTTTATTTTTATTTTTTAATAGCCTATTTGCATTTTGTTTGGAAGGGAACTAAAAGGAAAAACAAGTCCAGAAGATGCTCGCCATGTTTCATTGCTTGAATGAAGTGATGAAATTATCTTTTCCTTTTTATCTTCCTCTTTCTTCTTGTTCGCTTTATTAGAAGCGTTTTGAGCCTTACTTTTAGATGGTAACTCAGTAGCATGCTTATTGATTCTTTTTTATATTCACAGAGGATGTTGATTCTACGGTTGCTGAAACTGCTCACGCAACTGAATATTATTCTGTGGAAGACACAGCATCTGCTACTCGAGATGTTCATGCCTCTAATCAAAACATGGAACTAATAATTAGAAACCTGGAACGAGAACTTGAAGAAGCCCAAGCTGCTCATGCTTCTCTTTATCTTGAGTTGGAGAAAGAGAGGAGTGCTGCTGCAACTGCTGCTGACGAAGCCATGGCTATGATTCTACGACTCCAGAGTGAGAAGGCTGCTGTACAGATGGAAGCTCGGCAGTACCAGAGGATGATCGAGGAGAAATCTGCTTATGATGGTGAAGAAATGGAGATTCTAAAAGAGATCATCGTGAGGAGAGAAAGAGAGAATAACTTTTTGCAGAAGGAAGTTGAAGCATATCGGCAGATGCTTTCTGGAGAGATCACAGGTGACAAACCTGAATTCTTGTTTGACTCGTCCGAAGACCCTACTTTGATGCTAACAACCATTTGTGAGTCAATCAGGAAGAAGGAAAGGATACATGGTAAGATGAAACACACAGATGATATTGCAGGAATACATTATCCTGAATTGCCAGTGCCTGGCGAGGAATGCAAGGAAAAGGGCATTGTAACAGTGGAAGTTTACCCATCTGGAGAATGCCAAAATTCTAGTTTCAATGAAGATGCTGTTGGATATAAGTTAGATGGAGCTCAAAATCTTGGATTTTGCGAAGAATCCTCATGTTTATGTAGTGATGACCATGCTGGAAGAGAAAGCAACACTGAGTTGAGAATTCCTATTGATGGTTTGAATGGGGACGATAAAAAAGGAGCTAAACGGAGCAGAAACTCTTCTCTGTTTGAGGCAGAATCAAGTGTCCTTGATGTTCATGTTATTGAGGATAAGCATAAATTGGGTGTTGAGGAATATGAAAAATCAAGTAATATTCTTAAGATGGCATCTGCTCCAGAATTATCTGGGAAAAGTGACGTGCCAGATGAGTTGCCAGGAAGTAGTAATGTTGATATTTCAAGAAAAACTTCACTCCCAAACAGGGTTGGAGTGGAACAGGACATCCAAAGAAGTTACTCAGAGATGACCATTGGGCGTCAGCTGCTGGATACTTTGATCGATAATACTTCATATAATGATATGAGGAGTCCGATGTCTTCTGTTGACAGTAAAAGATTTAAGCTTGAAACTGAAGTTGAGATATTAAGGAAAAGGCTGAAGACCATCCAGCAGGGGAGAGAAAATTTGGACTTTGCTATGGGGTATAGGGAAAATGAAACTTTCCAGTTACAACTCTTAGAGGAGATTGCCTGCCAGCTTCAAGAGATCAGAAAGTTAACCGGACCAGGAAGGAGCACACGCCAGGCTTCTTTACCACCACTATCTTCTAAGGTGAATCATTTTCTTTTATTGCTTGCACTGAATTTATATTCCTACCGACTTTGGAAGTTTTACCAATACATCCCACTATTTTTTATAGACATTCTCATATGTCTATTTAATTCTATCTGTTCTTCTCTAGCTTTTTTTTTGTGATTAAAGAGCTTTATATTGGAACCTGCTATACCTACTTAGGGCGAAAATCTCCTTCAATACACAACACGGTGACTTAATTGCTTAGTGGATTCTTTTATTCATAATTCTTTGATGATGGTTATAATTGAACTTTAATACTGAGGCAATCATCTGTGCTGACATTAATTTCTAGTAACCATTTAAAATTTCATTATCACATGAAAAGAGTGGGGTTGGCGGGTTTTTCTTTTTTCTTTTTTCTTTTTTTTTTTTGGGG